AGTGGTGTAGTTTCCTCCTTTACCTTCTTAAGGATTCGCTTTATATTACCTACAGAATGCTGGACTGTGAGGAGGGTCTTAAGACCTTCTGACCTTAAATTTCTGATGTAATACGTGAGCTGTTTATGATGTAATAACCTTTTGATTGCTTCTAGGTCAGCTCCAATATGTATGGGCTCAATATAGTCATAAAAACGATATTCTGATTGAATAACCTCCGACTCTAAATCATGCAAGGTGAGTGTCTAAGGTGAGTGTCTAAGGGAATTGCTTGTATGACTTATGGTTAGCCAGTGGGGTAAAATGTAAGTCTTCTCTGTTTGGCTGGTTTGGTTTGCCTCGGTGTGCAAAGGACCCCCAACCTTGGGCCGTAACTGTCCTGCTCTGAGCAATTTGTCCTGATACTCTCAGTTGTGTCCCACCAAGGGCATCATCGTCACAGTGGCGTAGTTGGGCTTGGATCCACAGAACCAGGTCAATGAAGCTTTGGGTCAGAGCCCCACGCTATCCAAATTTGAATTTTGATAGTGAGAGTTTGGTTGGTTAAAGAGCAGTTGCAATGGGTGAGCAAAGAGCATATGAGGGCCTTGACAGAAAAGCCCTGGAAGATTTGTGTTCAGAAAAGGGCTAAGCTTTAAAAAGAAAGCTACAAATCAAGAACAGAGAGATTGTTAATGGCCAGTGATCGGGAGGCAGGAGCACAGCCCTTACCTGAGGCTACAGAAGCTGCAGAAACAATTGGAATGCAAAAGGCAGCAAATAAACTGCAACTTGAGCATGAGCAGAAACGAGCAGTCATTCGATGGCTGGAAAAGCAAAAGAATGGCTGAATTGGAAAGCGGTCTTGGCTACACTCGGGACTTCCCAGCGCTGCTGCGGCAGCTCTGTGAAGCGCGAGTGTAGTCGCGCCGCCAGCGCTGTGAGAGCTCTCTCGCAGCGCTGTAAGTACTCCACCTCTCCGAGGGGAATAGCTTGCAGCTCTGCGAGCGAGCGTGCAGCGCTGAAGGCTCTGATTACACTGGCGCTTTACAGCGCTGCACTCGCTGTGCTTGGGGGGGTGTTTTCACACCCCTGAGCACAGCAGGAGACGGCTAGACTTCAGCTCCAAGGCCTTGGCTACACTTGCAAGTTACAGCGCTGTAAAGCCTCCTCCAGCGCTGTAACTCACTCCCCGTCCACACTGGCAGGGCACTTACAGCGCTGTATCTCCCGGGGTACACCGCTGCAGGTACTCCACATCTCCGAGAGGAATAACAGCTGCAGCGGAGTGGCTACGACTCACGGGTGTGAGTGTAAACGCTTGCAGCGCTGTACTAATCACCTTGTCAAGTGGCCAATCCTCTCCATTGTTGTGACCGGCTGCAGGAATGCGGAACTCAGGGCCGGCTCTAACTTTTTTGCTGCCCCAAGCAGCAAAAAAAAGCACCCCCCCGCCAAGCCCCCCCTGCCGAGCGCCGCGCTGCCGGAACCCGCTCCCGAGCGCCG